AAATTATGACATCTGTTACACAGTTGAGATATGCGATACTTCCACTGCCATAGCGAATCATGAAATCAGTGGAAAAGTCTCGGTTTGGTTGAGCTAGCAGAGTGTACGCTATCTGATAGCCGAGGAAAAAAAAATAACTGATGATAAAAGTGAACGTAATGGCAATAAGAAGAGAAATTCCTCTAACCCTGACTGCCCTCATCTTAGCCTTGAAGGCATTGTTCAGCGGACCATTGCCAACGGTCCTGTTTCCTCTGACCCACACAGTTCTCATCAAGCAGATGTTGATATAAGTTATAAATATACCTGGGAGAAGATACTGTACTGGAAAAACCACGAGTATTATTTTAAATGGGTAAAAATTCTGGTCGTTCCTGCAGACGACAGTAAAATGAGTGTCATTAAGATCTACTCTTATGCCGTCATATGCAGCTGCCGGAAACAACATGAAAAATAACCCGAAAACCCACGCAAAAATGATCATTTTTTGCACTGTGGCGGCACTGAAAGTGCGTGGATTCGCACGAGTTGATAAATACTTTTCAAGACTTATGACGACCAGATTATTGATTGTAATGGCAGGAAATATGAAGTTGAGATATCGAACCAGCTTGCACGGCCAACCGCTTTGGAACACATCAAATAAAATCTGAATGCAAATCAGAGGAAGCGAAACTGCACAAGAAAGTATGTCTGACAGAGACATGCTTCTTACATACAAATTAAAATTTCTCATAAAACGGCTTCTTTGGATTGGATTTGCTTTTGGCTTTTTCCAAAGAAAGTAAAGTAGCAGACAGTTGCCGAAGAATCCCAGGCAACCAATAATGGAAAAAAGCGCACAAAGGGCCCATTTAAAAGTGGCATCAACTGGGGTGAATACGTAGATCCGATTCAGTCGTGGGGCGTTGTCATGTGAATGCGATGAATTGTTTCCAGAGACATTGGAAGCCAACCACGATGTTTCACGATCGTTATTCATGGCTGAAAACCTCCTGATCTATAAAATATCAACAGAAAAGAAAACGTAATTAAATTAATTCACTTTTGGACTGAATGCGATCATTGTCTTTTCAAAGTTTCCGTTTTTGTTGGTTGATTGGTTGGTTGGTTCGCAGGTGTTTCTTGGATTGATCAGATTCGTTCCCAGTTGTTCCTGAGAAGGATTCGCATAAGACTGCTATGGAAGTGCCCTTTGCAATCGTTAAATAATATCCTTGGAACAAAATAGATTTCAGAAATGGAGAGCGCGTAACGAATTTAGCAAGCCTGCAATTTTTGAGATCATTGATGTTAAAATAAAAATTCGTATGTCGGTTTTAAAGTTTAAGAAACTAATAATATTGATTTGAAAAATGTGCTTAACGTATTCGCATAGCGTTCTTCAACGCACTGGTAGAGGTGAATGCTTTCATCTCGGCCAGTTGCACGAAATGTTTTATTTTCTCGTCCCTCGCAGGATAGGTTGATTGAAAAAAAAAAACCGTTATTTAACCTCGGCAATGTTTTTAGCACAAGTGCTATTGGGCCGAACAAACAACTAAAACAAGTAATTCAAATTGAATATAACATTAATTCCCATATGCATGTTTACACAGCAGTAACCCTAAAACGGACCAAGAGAATGCCCTTTAAGGTTAGTTGCTTGTCATTGCATTTCAAAAGGTTTCTCAACGAGATTTATTTGCGGTTGGTGGCCAAATTAATTTTTCAGCAATGCGAAGTCGAAAATCACCGCCATTAAGATCGTACCCAAAATGTGCGTAAATGGTACTTAAATGGGATAAAGGAGAATGTGCACTTACTCGGCAAGTGGTTCAGTGCTGATTTAACCCTTTGTATACCAGGCGTTTGAACAGATTTGTTGTCGATATGAGCTGTAGATGATACTTGTTTGATGAGAGAATTAACTGTGACGAATGAGCACTCTACGCTGATACGCCAAGTTACTATCGATCAGCATATATTGTTTGTTGGAAAATAAACTGTCGCTAACATACACCAAGTGAAACCTTTTGAGATCACCTGTCCACGGTTAAAAAAAGAATACACCCATTGGCAGAGAAGCAACAAAGCGACTTGATTCTGGCATTTAGATGTGCTAAGCTGTCTTTATTCCAGGTTATAACAGAGTGGAAATTGCGCACAGATCTTCCCAAAACGGTGCGAATGAAAACAAAAAATAAAAAAACTAAATTTCCTCTGCTTGACAATTGGGACAATTTCGATGTCTAAACATTGTTTTATGGTGTTGCTATGTTAGTTTTGTTTCCGAGAGTCTTCCTGCTCTAAATTCTCGACAAAGACGCGAGCCGAGAAATTTAAGCGACTGTATTTCGTCTGAGTTTTCTTGGGACCATGCAAGGCACTGGAATATTTTGCGCATATTACAATATCTTTTTGCTTGGAAGGATTTCCATCCAGAAACTGTTGAGTGGTTTAACAATTGGGAAGGCCAAGGACTCAATTTCCGCACCATTTACTGAAACAACATCTTGGCGATTCTCCCACTTCACCCCGCAGCTGTAGCGAAATACATATTTCCTACTTTTGTCGTTCTATCTCAAAAGAAAACATACTTCAATATATACCAGTTATGCAACGCTTTCAAGTGGTATACCATGGAATATTTCGCTCTCACTTGTATTTTCCTGGTATACAAGCTCGCCCTTTTTCATTTTATACCATGCCATAGAAAGTATGTGAAGGCCCAATGGCCTCATGGTTAGTGCATTCGCCTCCGGATCAAGTGGTACGGGTTCGGGTTCGGTTCGGACGGGGGACAATAGGGAACTTAGGTGACCACGACGGCGACGCCGAGGACAACGTCGATTAAAAGAATGAACCTATATTTTACGTACGAATCTCGCGATACTCTAAAGTCGTTTACTTTGTTCGTCACTGTCAAAACTTCACGAAACTGAATCTGGGACACAAATTAGCCGTCGTGGTTCATGTTCTCCAGACAACGCAGAATTTGGTCATTTCACGTTGTTGTTTTGTAGAGGACAGCGGAGAAATGTACCAAGAATTATAGGGAGTTTAAGAAAATCACGACGGCAACGGCAACGGGAACTTCGCTAAACAAAAGATTTAATGGGCAGAACAATGGCTGTGTACGTGCGTCAGAAATACTCCTAGTTGCTTCATACTATAGACACCGGAGAAAAGCGCCGGCCAGATGGGCTACTTGGCTCGCATGTAGACTTTACCTTTTTACCCTGGTAGAAAATATAGCCTCTTTGAGGGATTCAGGTAGCTGGTTGCAGCGCGAACAAACGGCGGAGCGAAATAAAGGAGACAAAGGCTTGCTGCGAGCAGCGAACGAACGCCTGTAATGTCGGGCAAGACACTGTACTCTCACAGTGTCTCTTCGCCTTGGTCTACATAAATGGGAGACGGCGAATTTCATGCTAGGGGGTAACGCAGGCCTACGATGGAATAGCAATTTTATCCAAGCGGAGTAGAAATACTCCTAGTCGCTAAATGCAACGGAACCCGGGATAAGCTCCGGCTGTGTGGACCTGTGTGGCCTACTTGGTCTGCAGACTTTACCTTCTTGGATCTTCTTGGCCTACAGGGTAAAAGGTTAAGTGTCTCATAGACACCGTTGCTTATCCGAGTTCAGTAGCATAGAGTGATTACAATATACCTGGATGCGGTGCTAGTCTATCGCATGGTTACCCATTGAATATGACTGAATTGTACCCGCCATTTATACACCTGAATGAAGAGAAACGCTGTCAGAGTAGTGTCTCGCTCAAGACACAACACAATCCAGCCTTCATCCTACCAAAGGCGAGCTTATTAAATGTCTTTCTATAGTAAAAACCAGACCCTCACAGCATACTTTTTCACCCTTTTCACTTCTTTTTAAGTACTTTTTATTCGTATTGCATACATTTATAACTCAAAAGGTTTTTGAGAAAACTGTCATCCAAAAATTACGTGTGGAAAGAGATCACTGCACACTATTCTTTACACAACGTTGGACGGAGACTGTCCGTGTTTGTGCTGTTCAATTGCATTGCCCGCGAGCATGCACAAGTCTGTTTCTCTATTCATAACTAGTTATGTAAGGAAAGGGCTAAGCCCGAAACATTTAGTTAACCAGCAATTATTTGACACTTTCAAGTGCCATTTGAGCCTCTTATTGAATTTAACTGTATTAACTGTGTCACGCATCTTATGAGTTTTTTGCTCATTCCTATGAGAAGTTATTATTTATACGGTTGTTTGCATTGCCGCTTCCAGAACTGAACAAACGTTTCCTTAGAAATTCGCGAAAGTCCTTCATTTGGACAAAGTAAATTATGACATCTGTTACACAGTTGAGATATGCGATACTTCCACTGCCATAGCGAGTTATGAAATCAGTTGAAAAGTCTCGGTTTGGTTGAGCTATCAGAGTGCTCACTATCGCATAACCGAGGAAAAAACAATAAGTAATGATAAAGGTGAGCGTAATGGCAATAAGAAGAGAAATTCCTCTAATCCTAACTGACCTCATCTTAGCCTTGAAGGCATTGTTCAGCGGACCATTGCCAACGTTCCTGTTTCCTCTGACCCACACTGTTTTCATCAAGCAGATGTTGATGTAAGTTATAAGTATACCCGGGAGAAGATACTGTACTGGAAAAACCACGAGTATTATTCTGAATGGGTAGAAATTCTGGTCGTTCCTGCACATGACAGTAAAATGAGTGTCATTAAGATCCACTCTTATGCCGTCATATGCAGCTGCCGGAAACAACATGAAAAATAATCCGAAAACCCACGCAAAAATGATCATTTGTTGCACTGTGGCGGCACTGAAAGTGCGTGGATTTGCACGAGTTGATAAGTACTTTTCGAGACTTATGACGACCAGATTATTGATTGTAATGGCAGGAAATATGAAGTTGAGATATCGAACCAGCTTGCAAGGCCAACCGCTTTGGAACACATCAAATAAAATCTGAATGCAAATCAGAGGAAGCGAAACTGCACAAGAAAGTATGTCTGACAGAGACATGCTTCTTACATACAAATTAAAATTTCTCATAAAACGGCTTCTTTGGATTGGATTTGCTTTTGGCTTTTTCCAAAGAAAGTAAAGTAGCAGACAGTTGCCGAAGAATCCCAGGCAACCAATAATGGAAAAAAGCGCACAAAGGGCCCATTTAAAAGTGGCATCAACTGGTGTGAATACGTAGACCCGATTCAGTTGTTGGGCGCTGTCATGTAAATGTGATGAATTGTTTCCAGAGACATTGGAAGCCAACCACGATGTTTCACGATCGTTATTCATGGCTGAAAAGCTCCTGATCTATAAAATATCAACAGAAAAGAAAACGTAATTAATTCACCTTTGGACTGAATGCGATCATTGTTTTTTCAAAGTTTCCGTTTTTGTTGGTTGATTGGTTGGTTGGTTCGCAGGTGTTTCTTGGATTGATCAGATTCGTTCCCAGTTGTTCCTGAGAAGGATTCGCATAAGACTGCCATGGAAGTGCCCTTTGCAATCGTTAAATAACATCCTTGGAACAAAATAGATTTCAGAAATGGAGAGCGCGTAACGAATTTAGCAAGCCTGCAATTTTTGAGATCATTGATGTTAAAATAAAAATTCGTATGTCGGTTTTAAAGTTTAAGAAACTAATAATATTGATTTGAAAAATGTGCTTAACGTATTCGCATAGCGTTCTTCAACGCACTGGTAGAGGTGAATGCTTTCATCTCGGCCAGTTGCACGAAATGTTTTATTTTCTCGTCCCTCGCAGGATAGGTTGATTGAAAAAAAAAAACCGTTATTTAACCTCGGCAATGTTTTTAGCACAAGTGCTATTGGGCCGAACAAACAACTAAAACAAGTAATTCAAATTGAATATAACATTAATTCCCATATGCATGTTTACACAGCAGTAACCCTAAAACGGACCAAGAGAATGCCCTTTAAGGTTAGTTGCTTGTCATTGCATTTCAAAAGGTTTCTCAACGAGA